GTGGAGATTTATTTTTAAACCATTGTAAATTCGACTTTTATTGAGGCTAAGAAACCCTGTTTCGCGTCAGCTTCACCTCTCTTTCCTCCTCTGGCTCCAAAGGGAGCTCTTTGACCTGCATTACTGCTCCCTTATGATTCTATTTTCTGATGATAAATACAGTACATCCAGAAATATTCTGAATTGCAAGATCCAAACAGACAGACAGTCAGAATACACTCTAATATAATAGATTAAAAATAACAGATTTAATTGATGTCATATCATCTCAGACAATGTTCCAAAGGCATGACAACAGGGTATTTTGGAACCGGGAAACAATTTATCCAATCCCAGAATCTCCTCTGGTTATGTCGGATCTCACTAAGCTTCAAGCTGGTCCCAGTTGAAGTATAGTGAGTTACAGACACCCTAGCTACCTCATTCCAATAGTTAGCATATACCAAGAATGTAAGCTACACCTTCTCCAAACAGAAATGTTGCCTTGTATTTCATTGCTGTAATTTGAGTCTAATTGGTGTACCATATTTTCCAAACTATAAGCCGCTCCTTTGCGACTTATACTCAGGTCGACTTATTATTTATATATATAAATATTTTATTTGTTATTTTCACACTGACAGCCACTAGAGGGCACCCCAGGCTTGAATTATACGTATATATAAATAAAATATTGTACAATTTCAAAATGATGTTTTCTCTAAATTATAAATGTGCAAATGACATTTTATTTGGCTTATTATGTTCAACAGAAAACAGGATTCAAGAAGGAAAATCAAATTAAAACAATTACCAGTTCAACAGAAAACAGGATTCAAAAAGGAAAATCAAATTAAAACAATTACCAAGGCCACCCACGAGCCCAAAGAGTCAGCGAGTTAATTAAAAAGGTAATTATAAATAATAATAAAAATACCTTGGGGTTATTCATGTTAGCACTTTCACTTGTGGCTGTCTCTTTTGTTCTGTCTTGTAGGGGTAGGAATTCCATCTCTTTTAAGACTGGTTCTCAAGGCTGGATTCTATCATAGCGCCGACTCTTTTTGTTGTTTGTTTATTTATTTATTTGTTAATTTATTTATTTAAGGTTAACAATGTAACATTTATTAATTAATTAACTGAGTGTTTATTCTTTGTTTAGCTAGTTAGATGCATCAGAAAAAATGCACAAGAGCATTTAAAAGAAAAAGTTACAGTCATGGATTGGAGTGGAGGAGAGTTGGACATCCTAGACCAGGGGTGTCAAACTCAGATTCAGGGGCCGCATACAACATAATTGGATGACTAAAAGTGGGTTGGACCAGTACATTCATAACATAAATACTTATAAATAACAATAAGTCCATCATTTTCCCCTTTGTTTTCATGTGAGAAGTACAAGTATAATAGATTTTTTTTTATGGGTGGGGGCCGGATTCAAAGTCCCACGTGGGTTGTATGTTTGACACCACTGACCTAGACCAGGCTCGGGGGCCTGACGTGGCCCGTTCAGCTTTGTAAACCGGCCCGCCCAAATTTGTCCAACTTATATAATAGATTGTGTTGTATTATAGTTCTGCTTTTTCCCTGCAATGCCTGCATTTTCTCTATAGAGGGCGTAGAGAAGGCTATAAGCATTTTAGCCTTTAGCCTGGATTTAAGCTCACTATTTTGTCCGTCCTCCTTTACCTTATGTGTCCTTTTAAAATTAGACAAACGGTATTAATGGATTAGACCAGACTTTAGACCAGACATGGACAAACTACGGCCCGTGGGCCGGATATGTTCCATCTGGCTTTTTTACTCTGGTCCGCCAAATTATATTATTCATTTTTATTATCATTATACATCTGCCTTTTTCCTGCAATACTCTCATTTCCCCAGTAGATGGCATAGAAATGCTAAAAGAATTTTAGCGTTTTAGCCTTTATGCATGACATTTACATGTCATTTATCATGTTTAACGAAACAGCTCCATCTATCTGTCAAAGTCTAGGACCCATTATGGCCCGCCAGTCAAAAGTTTACCCACGGCTGGATAAGACCAATTAGTAAGGTTTTAGGGAGGTGACCATTATGAATAAATAAGCTAGTCTACTACCCATAAAGAGAATATTAATCTTCACCCAGATAGGGCGCAATATTACTTAGAACAAACGAATAGAAAAAAAAAATGAAAAAAACACAATCCTTCAACACGTGGGATCGCACCAGTGAATTTTTGGGCCGTAAGACAGAAGCATAAACCCCACCTTTACTATGTAGCCTCAGGCACAGTTTTTCATGTATGAAATCTACTCGATGTCTAATAAAGGGAACTTGACAAAATCAACTGTAAGAAGAAAAAAAGACAGAATCTGGAAGTAAACCAAGTCTCCTTGCGAAACTCCACACAACAGCCCGGAGTTTGTCTACAGACATCACTCACGAACTCCGCATGGAACTAACAGAAAAAACAAAAAAAAATCTCTGTGCTATTTTTGGTCCTGACAATAATAGAGTGTTGCCCTTGTAGTAAATGACAAGTAAATTTATTTTATGACATTTATAGAGGAAGCTGAATTTCCCTTGAAAATCAATCACTGCTGTTATTATCGTGTTCTCGTTGACATGTTATTATTAGTGAGAAATTTATCTTTATATATAGATTATATTAATTGTTTCATTCAATACTACACACAAAAAAAATTGTACCATAATTTAAAATAAAAGTGCACTATACACTGCTTTTGGTATAATTGTTGACTTTTGCATAACAATGCACGATTAATCGCATTACCTCCTTACGATTGATCACAATTATTTGCGTTGTTACTTTTAATTGTTTCCCAATCGTTTGTTTATATTTTCTTTTTATTTAAAATAAAAATGTGATCACAAAAAATCCCATTCCCACCACAAGAGCAGACCAGGAAACCGTAGCACTGCATAGCAATAAACATGGCTATAAACTTAACTATAAACATGACATGAACAATCCCAGATCCCTTCACATAACCATCAAAAGGTGTTCCAGCATCTTCATTTTGTAACAATTATCATCAATAAACTATGGCCAATTTTGCCCTACGAGACGTTAGCGGTAACAAACGACTACAGCAGAAAAACAGCTTTTTTGAAATTGTAATCTTCTGTAGTGGGGTCCTTTTGTTCGTAATCACTCACTGTATTGTTCTGCGTTCATCTGCCCATTAAACAGAGTATAATGGGTTCCAACGGTTTAAGCATAATGATCTCCGTAAAAACAATACATTTAAATGTAATTACTTTGTGCTTCTGAAGAGTTTACTCTGAACGCACCACCACCATCAACATCTTCATGTTCATTACCACCGCTGATTGCCATGCTTTTTTTTAAATTCACAGCTACTTTTCACAAAAAAAAAAAAACAAAAACAAATTTTAATTAGTACACTTTATTTACTTCATTCGCATGTGGGAGTAGATTTTTTTTTCCTATTGTGAGATCATATTTAATTCACATTATCCTCTTCTCTGTTGCAAATAAAAAATCACCAGGCCATAACATGTTCATGTACTGTTAAGAGCAAAGGTTTTATTGATCTAATGTTATTACATAACTTGGCCTACTATAATAGAATTAAATTATTATTTAAGACAAAATGTTGTGTAGCAATGCATTTTATTTTATTTTATTTTATTTTATTTTATTTTATTTTATTTTATTTTATTTTATTTTATTTTATTTTATTTTATTTTATTTTATTTTATTTTATTTTATTTTATTTTATTTTATTTTATTTTATTTTATTTTATTTTATTTTATTTTATTTTATTTTATTTTATTTTATTTTATTTTATTTTATTTTATTTTATTTTATTTTATTTTATTTTATTTTATTTTATTTTATTCAGATAAAAAAGAAAAACATGAGCATGTCCACTCCTTTACTCAACCTCTCCACCTTTGCTAATACATCCAACCAGGGACGGTCCTAGTTAAACGGGGGCCCTAAGCAAGTGGTGGCCCACCCGTCCATCAGAACCAACCCTGTCCTCCACCACTGTGGAACTCCGTCACACCAGACTTAGCATTGTCTTACAGCTTTTCTACAGAATGAAATTAATGAAACACGTATGGGATACAGACATATTTCTACTCTATTGACTCTCTCTAAAATCTATGGTTGTTATGAATTAGATTCCCCAATAGATGGCGATAATGAGCTTTATCACTCCACAAAGATGTGAGCTGCATCAATCATGCAAAATGTGCATATCGCCCCTTTCGCAAACATGGGGGCTCTGCGCAACACTGCTTGTTCTGCGCAAAGCTAGATGCGCCCCCAGATATGACGGTAAAGCTCTATTGACCAATCAGAAGCCTGCCACTATCTAACAGTCACTGCCTGCCACTGGAATTTCTGAAATTGTTTTTAAAATTCACAGGCTGTTCATTATAGAGCCACTGCATAAAATACACACATTTTGTAAGCTTTTAGTTCTTGTCAGGACTTTTTATCATTTCTTATATGAAAAATTACTAGTCTTCCCATCTTATTGTACCATTTTCTTGTATTATATTTATATTATATATATTATAATTATACTTTTGGACCCGCCCATCTGAGTCATTGACCATGTCATTACAACATCCCGCAAAGGACTTGCTGCAATATTTTTAAAAAGCAATTATTTGGTCTAAAACACAAATGTCCAAAAATTGTACTGTTTCCGCATTTGTATTGACCACTTGTCAAATTGCCAGGCAACCAGAGACCAGGGAACCATTGGTCAAGACTAAAAATAATGACAAACATTTATAATGATTTTTATAATTTTTTATGAATTTTAAATGCCATTCAACCACACTCAGGGGAAATGTGGACGTGACCCTGATCAAAGTCCACTTAGGGAATATAGTGAATGGTTTTGCGTTTGTTTACAGCAGTGGTAGAGCTGCTCTAGCGGGGCGGAGTCTAGTGAGAGTCCCCGCCAATCAAAAACGCGGTTTCGCGGGGTGAACGCTGGAGAGGCGGAGCTAAAAATTATTGTAGCCAATCAGTGCATACCGTCCTCAGCACAGGGAGAAGTTAGCGCTCGACTGCCAGTCTGGTCCGTAGCCACGATGGATGCATTACTATGCCTTTTGGTCGTTCTTATTGTCGGGACAAGGATACAAGAAAACAGCGGTAAGTGGCCTTTAATGGACAACACGGAGTTATGCTATGTGTGGGTGGTGTTTTTCTAGAAAGTTGCTCCCTCATTGTCCGCAATGTTTGATGAGAAAAGCTTGTTGAAGGAGCAGAGTGTGTCTAACTAAGATGGCGCAGGGTCGGCGGCCAGCCTGCTGTTGCCTGTCTCAGGAATGTTTATTGTCTGTGGAGAAAAAAAAACAGGAACAGGAGCTAAAAGTCGCGTCTGGTTCAAAATGGCCAACCTTGGACTAACTGGTCTCGAACTGGTCTTTCCTGGGTTGCCTTTAGTTCTCTGTGCTCACGGACTGAGCTTTGCCAACAAAGAGCAGCGGAGCTCCTGCGCTGGAACATTCGCCTAGTTTCGTTCAGACAAAGTTGGCAGAATCTTCTTGCCCATTTTGTCAAACATTGGTTGTTTATTGACTCGCTGGTCGAAGCTCAACTCAGACGCGTTTTCCCCCTTTTTCAGCCAGTCACAGTTGAGCCGTAAGTTTGTGCCGCCTCCGAGCTGAACGTGTTATACTTGTGTACCGTTACTTTTCGCTGCATGACGTTCATGTCACCTATTGTGTCACAACATTGGTCCTCGGTAGATTCTCTGGACTCTTACCCTTACTCCCTACTTTCAAACCTCCTTTAGCAGCAGTCCGACACGCTCCTCTGCACCAGGTTATCCTGCTAGTTCCTGACTAGACACACGCTTTGGACGTTTTTATTCTGCTTCCGTGTCCAACTTTGACCGTCTGTTTTACACGAGTTTTAATGTAATAGGAGACAACAGTAAAGAAGAGGATTTAAAGGTGGGGGGTTAGCGAGGATCCCGGAGTGGCCACGTACGACCCAAGCCCCATTGACAAAAATGATTATGCATCGCTGGGTTGCAACTGTGATGTTCTCAATGTACTGAATTAGCCCGTTACATTTCGCGTTTCTATTGAAATATGTATCCATAGGTGGCGCAAAAAACCTGCCACGACCTCATGACAATAGCAACAACAATCACGTTACAAGCTTAAAAAAAGGTAGCCTTTTGGCACTCCCTTTTCACCATAGAAGTTACAGCTATAAGTTATCACATTTAATCTCTGATTGAGTTGCGTTATTTTAGCATTCTTTTGTTTTTCGGTGTAGAATACAACTGCAAAAACAGTCGGTTATTTTTATACCTAAATTATTAGTCAGTAAAAAGCCACGGTGTAACAAGTATGATACCTGGATGTTTTTACCCAAGAAAGTCAAATTAAAAATAAATCCAAGAGCAAATTTTAGACATTCAGAAATCAGCTTACCACGAAACAGCTTAAATTTGTTTTTACATTTCCCCGTCTGGTTTAAAGTAGGAACGACAGACATCTTTTAATAAAACACTAAGCAGCCTTCGTGGGTTTTTTTTCTCCATTCTTGGCTCTGATCTGTGTTTGTTAGCCATTAAATTGACATGATATTCTTTGTTTCAGTGGTCACTGTGTGACCTGTGAGGAGGAAAAGAGATCCAAATGGTTGTGTATGCATGTGTGTGTGTGTGAGCATGTCCGTGCGTGCGTGCGGGAGTGTGTTCTCTTGACTTGCAGACTCCTTTTGTGTATGACATTCCTTTGTGTAGACGGAGAGAGCGTGAGACAGAAAGCGACCTTCATCATGAATGGAGAAGCACGCTTTTTAGGCGGCATGCATAAAGCCCTCATCGGCCAGAAGCGTGGCTTTGTTCGCATTATATGTGCACATGTGGACCTTAGATGCAGGCTGGTGATCGAATTGATATGTAGGCTCGGGAACTGAGCACACAACAAGGAAGAGAATTTCTTTGTCCACTGAAAGGATTGTATTCGTGTGAGTCCATGCCTATCTCTATCGACATTTGCTCCGAGAAAGACTTTGGTGGTTTGAATGCGCATAAGCATAAAACACACACAAAAAAATAAATAAATAAAGTGCTTCAATGCTGTATTAGGTGTAAATGTAGTCTTTATAATGTATATTTCTCTCACAAATGTATCATGTTATTCTTATCTGCGCCGCAACATAAGTGGTTCATGAAATGCAAATGTCCTCATTTGCCAGACAGTGCAACATACTGCATGTGTGTTCAGGCAGACAGTGGTGGCTTTTCAGCAGCGAGTACCTTACATGACTCCATGTGCATGTTGCGTGGCTGCTGCTGTGTGAGTGTGCAGCAGCGGCAGCGGCAGTAGCATCACCACACCCCTGCAGCTCTCACACATTTGCCTTGTGCACAAAGCAGTGTAGCAGTACGCTTTCAAGCACCTGCACACATCCAATCTCCAAGACTGAGGCTGAATTAGGTGTTGTCACTATTGCTGTCCTCATTCTCACAGCCTCAGCTACCCCCATCTTGTCAGCTCTGTCCTCACGCTTGTGTCACTCGTTTTCCCCCCCTCTCATTGCCTCATCCCTCACATGCCCTGCTTCTATTTGTCTGCTCTCTGGGTTTGTGCCTGCCTTCATTGCTTCCTTTAGGCGTTGTAAGTAAACAGTCTGTTATTATCTGGAGTGGTGGGGAAAGACAAATGCCATGTCAGCACTTGGATTCTAATACAAGCGGCTGCCAGGGGAGACTATAAATTGTTCAGATTCTCCATACAAATTGAGGTAACGGTCCTTTTACTGTGAATTCTCAGTTGCCATTCGCCGTAGGAGAGTTCCTTTATGAAGTGAAATGTCTCAAAATGCATAGAAGCACATCCCCCTTTTTTTTTCTTGCAGTTTTTACTGTGAGAAGTGTGCTTCAGATTGTACACAATGTACTGGCAAAGACACTGCAGTATTTTCACACACTAATGCAACTGTGGAACATGTTTTCACACACTGTGCGGCTTTGTGGTTGGCAAAACGTGACACTCTTCGGTATCATGATGAAGATGTGACTTGCGATAAATAGGAAAATATTCAAATGTGTTCATTGACAAGCGCATGCTCTGGGAGGTTGTGTTCCTGTTGTGCTGCCCTGAGAGGTGTCTTCTGCTTCCGACTGTGTCCCACCATTTTTTGCGGAGCCCAGCAGCGTGGTCAATGTGGTTGTCATCTTTAAGAGCAATTAAAAAAAAAGAAAAAAGAGAGAGAATATGGAAATATTAAAACAAGGGAACATCTTAGCGATATTGCAATTTTGTAACATTTGCAAAAGAAAATGCGTAATTTTTTTTGGATGAATGTTATGATTTTTTTTTTATTAAAAGCTATATATTTTATGAAAAATAACAGCATCACAGCCACGGGCTGTTTAGAGGCGCACAATAAAAATATATTGTTTCCTTAAATAAATATATTTAGTGGATAGATTATTATTATGGGACAATATAATATGGAATATGTATTAATATTTATACTTATTTGACAAGTACAGTGTGCATGTAGCCAGAAAGCTGGGGTAAATTTGCAGTGGGGTAAATTAACTTAAACTCGTATATCAAATGATTGCGTTAGCGCTTTTTCTTTTTCTTTTTTTTTTTTATTGGTTAAATAATATGCAGGCGCCATCACGCTCTTCAGTGGTCACACAAGTTAGCCGCTCCTCCCGCCGATACCAGTTGGTCGGAGTTTCACGCAACCCAAATGCAACGTTTTCTCTGGTGTGTTCTCCTGGAAATACTGCGACTGTAGACACCATACTTTCTGCTGAAACTCCCGGTCCACAAGGTGAACAGTGATGTAGGCTGATGTAGGATTCTGTGGTTCAGCTGGACCAGAGGTGCATGCATTTTCCAGCATTTACCATGTTGCTTTGGAATAGCGGTTTCAGTGTTTGAAGGCACCTCATATCCGCGATCTAATTTCTTAATTGGATTTATGAATATTGGGTTATGGCCTCCAAGATTTCAATGTGTGGTCTTGATCTGGGGTCCCAAACCCCGGGAACAATTGCCGGTATGTCATTCCTATGGTTGATTGTGCGTTGTTAATGGTAGTGTCTACATAAACCATTGCTTGTTAATGATTTCTCACCAAAGTGTGTAGCTTTAATCTACAATGTGATGGGCATCAATTTTAATCATATGAAATGTTGGTGAACTGTCTATGTCGTATCATCTTTATAGTGGACATGTCTTTGGTTGCTGAATCTCTACCATGTGTGGATATGGGTTATCTTTTTTATTGGAATGGAAACAGAAGGACTAATCTCTTTAGTGTCACAATCATAACCACCAGCTGAACTTGAAGTGGACTTGAGATTTTTCCTTTCTAATTTTGCCTTCCTTTCTTTTCCTGTAGTATTAGATTTAAGAAGTCTTGTGAATATACCCTTTTTAAAACCTAAAGTTTTCAAAACAGACCAATGTTATGATTTGTTATGACACCGTGGAAGATCTGATTTCTCTTTTCTGTACAGTATGCTCTGGCTGTACAGCGTGTTGTGGTGCTTTTCATCTTGAAAATGAAACTGTTCGACTTCCCGTGAGACTGCTGCATGTCAATATTTTTGCTCTTTGTCTCTCAGTTCTTCTCCTGATCTTGATCAGTCGAGGGTAATTTTTTTTGTGTGTGTGTTTGTTCAGCAGTGTGCTTCTGTGAAGTTCTGTGAAGTTGAGCATTGGTTATGTGGTTGCTGTGCACTTCTTCTTTGCAAAACTGGCGGTGGAGGAATGCCAAGAATGCAGGTGACCCTGGATATCCGTTGTCCCAGTCTAGGGGACTAAACTAATGCGTGAGGTTGTGGACGCGCCAGTGGATTCAAAAGCACCAATGCGTTAATGAACGGTCGCCCCAACAACACTTTTCTTTATATGCCTGCCATTGAATCTACAGCAAGTTGTGAAGAGGAAGCTAATTCATCCATTTGTAGTCAGCCGGTGCATTTGCAGTTTTTGTCTTCAACTGTTAGTTGCATGAATTCGGCTTGTGCACAATTAGCATGTGTTTATATAAATTCTGTAGTGTTTTCGCAATAAAATTTCAGTCTTATTGATAGACATCTATGGATTGAATCTTTTTAACTACTGCTCAGCATTCAAGTCCATAGGTACTGGGCCCATTAA